CCTTTGGCGCTTTGGCACTTGGTCGCTCCTTTGTTTTTTTTTTTTTTTTGTATTGATGAGTGGGAACGAAACATATTTCTATTTGTTTGTGTACCTCTGTGAACGGGTGTTTGGCCTTGCGCCTTTTGCCTCCGTGGAAAAACACTACACACATGTATGCAAATTCAGGCTCAGATGTATATACAAGTTTATCTGCCCATGTAACTACGAGTGCAAACGTGCATGTTTCCAGGATGTTGCAGTTAAATTTTAAAATGTAAGTGTAGTGATTCCATGTGAGTTTTTTTTATATTTATTTTTCGTTTTCGTTTTAGTTAATTACGGCATGTGAATCTGTGTGGAGTGTGTGTGTGTGTGTGAATGTGGCATCCCAATGGGGTGGTCACAGCCGTGTTTTTGCTGCTGCTGGTGCTGGCACAGTCCTTCTTTTATTATTATTATTGTTCTTGTCGTTGTTGTTTCCCACTGACGTGGCGAACGCTGTGGTGCCTACTCTCTCTCTCTCTCTCTCTCTCTCTTTCCTTTTCTCCTTTGCAAGCGACTTTTTGCTGGCGATGAAGAACACTGACCACCTCAAGTCCCTCATAGGCGACCTGGAGGCGTATGAGCGGGAGCTGAAGGAGAAGGTGCTGCAGAAGGAGGTGGAGCTGCAGCAGCTGCTGCAGCGACTTGGCCCTGCCACTGCCACTGTCACTGCTGGCTGCTGCTCCTCGGCTGCGTTGTCGGGCCCGTGGCGGCTTTGCGTAGCGCGCGCAGAGGCCGCGGGGAGGGCGGTCACTGGGGCGGCGGCGGCGTCGCCTTCCCCATGTATTACAGACGAGAGACGGCGCATTCCCCTCACTCTCAGCGGCAGAGGGTCGCTTGGGAACGGCCATGCTGAGAAGCACGATGCGCCCCAAAAGAAGGACACATCCGCCTCCATCGACATTGACGCGCTTTCTTCCATATCGCGCGCCAGTACCTCCTCCGTGGAGTCCGCCGATGCCCTCTCAAAGGCGCGGCAGCTCCTGGCTGCGATCGACACTGCAAAGGGTAGGCCAGCGCGCCGGGTGCGTTTTGCAAGTCGAAGCCCACAAGTTGTGTCGAGCGCCCTACAAGGTTCGGCCCCTGCGGGTCCCGCGAAGGGAGCGGCGCAGGGAAAGCCGCGTGGAACCCCGTTGCCGCAGTCCCAGGCACCGCAGGCTCTCCCTCGAGAAGACGGCGGTGCAAGCAGCAACGCGGTTGCCGTACCCATGCGAGACAACTCCGCTTCACCACTGTCTCAAGCTGCTCCGGGAGCCGGAATCCGTGCGGATTCGCCGGACCGTGTCCTTGCCGATGATGACGGGCCATGCTATGTCCGACGACGTCAACAACAGCAGGAAGAAGAACGGAGAAGGAAGGCGCAGCGAGGTCGGCCCCAGAGCTCTAATAGTGATGAAACCTTTGCTGTGGGAAATATTTCGACGGCGGTGGAGCTGACGAGGGTTGCTTCTCCATCAGACTCTGACCTGCCATGCGCACTACGCCGCTACAGGAGTGACAGCAGTCAGCGGCAGCAAGTCTGCCTTGGTCCTCCTGAAAAGCGCCGACAAAACTCCGCCTCTCCTAGTCTCAGCGCTGCTCGGCCGCATCCTGTAAGTGAAGCCCAGGTAGAGGGCAGGGGTGCTGGTATCGTTCTCGCCTGCGGTCCCACGCTCTTCTTCGACTGACCACTTTGTGGTGTCTTCTTCACAATATTTTTCCTTCCACGTTGGTATTATAGTTTTTCGTTTGCGTTATTCACTTTTTTTTATTTTCTTTCGCTTGCGCACATGTGTCTCTGTGCGTGCGTGTTTGGGGCGAGGGAGAGCACGTTCGAAACTTTGCTTTGTATGCTTTGTGTGCTGTGGTGCACGTCAAGGCAGTCAGCCACACGGTGCCTGGCGGCCCTCCCAGTCCTGTTGGCTGGAGTGGCTGGGACGACAGAAGCAAAGCCGTCGTCGTCGTCGTGCGGCGACTGACGCTGGAGGAGTTGCTTGGCGCACGAGCGCAATTGGTGTCTGTTGGCGGCACACATGAAATGCTTCCCCCCCCCCCCCACCAACTCTCACCACCACTTCCGCTTCGATGCTTAACATCGGCGGCGGCAGCGGCAATGCGTGGGCACATATCCACACGTGTGTAATTTATGCGTTCGCGTATTTATGTTGCACCCTCACTCCCTCCCCTTCTCGCTCCGTCTGCGCAGGATAAGAGGAAAGCGAGGAGAATAAGCGCGAGCCAAGCAACTTCACACTGCCAGAGCCGAAAGCGAGGAAACAACCACGAAGAGGGAAGCAGAAAGGGTGCAGCAACAAGAAAAAAAACGAGAAAGAGAGAGAAGGCTGGAGGCTTGCAGATCATGGCTGAGGAATCCGATGTCGGCGTCACCGTTCGCAAGGTGGCGGAGGAATTCCTGAAGCTAAAGACGGCGTACGAACACAAAAACGACGATGCATGCCCGGGCATTCTGGAGGAGATAAAGCGGAAACTCATCCTGCTGCCGACGTTTCTTAACCCCACGGCGCAGAGCCGGACGCGTGCGGAAGAGCTCATGATCACCCGTGAAGTGCTGGAGCACGGCGTCTTAGTGAGTGCGCGTCTCGGAGACCTCGACAGCTTTGAGCTCTACTTTAACCAGCTCAATGTGTACTACACAGATATTGCTAGCAGCGAGCTTCCTGAGTCCTCGTTATACCTGCTTATCCTTGGACTCAACCTGGTGCGACTGCTGGTGCGCAGCCGCATTGCGCAGTTTCACTCAGAGCTGGAGAAAATACCCAACCAAATTCACGGCACGAACACGTACATTCGATTCGCCGTTCTCCTTGAGCGTTACTTGATGGAGGGAAGCTATAAGAAACTCCTCAACTCTCGTCATCAGGCCCCTTCCAATGAGTACATCCCTGTCGTGGGAATGTTAGAGTCCACAGTGCGGCAGGAGGTGGCGGAGTGCATTCCCCGCTCGTACAACAAGCTTTCTATAGACAAGGCACAGAAGATTCTCATGGTGGACTCCGCGGAGGAAGTGAGGGCGATTGGACGGAGCCAAAATTGGCAGCTCAGCGCTGACGGTTGCAGCTTCGTGTTCACGCGCGAGGAGGATCTTGCTAGGAAGGAGGTCCCATTTAAAGAAATGCTTAAAAATCACTTGCACTTTGCAGCAGAGCTGCAACGCATTGTGTAGCTTTTCCCAATATGTGTTTCAGCTCTCTCTCTCTCTCTCTCTCACACACACACACACACACACACACACAAAACTTCGCTATGGGCGTGAAACCACAACAATCTGTGAGAAGGGACCTGGGGAGACATTATATCTTATATCATACATGTATATGTATATGTATATGTATGTATATAATGTCTTTCTCCCTGAACGGAAATGGACAGATTTACTCTTTTGTCTCCTAGGATGGAAGGGGCTTATTGGCATTACTGTGCCCGATGTGTTTTTTTGTTTGTTTTCCTCGCAGCCCGTTTCACGCACAGCCAAAGCCCTTATTTGCATGCAGGTGGTGAGATGTGCACATGCGTGCACAAAAAGACGTGCGTGAGGCTCGGGAGTGAGTCGCATTGCAGTGCGTCAATGGAACTCGTCCTCGGTGCCGCAGGTGCTGTCGACCTCTTCTTCTGAAGAGGCTATGAGTCTTAAAATGTTTTGCACTGTGTCTTATTTCCTTCCTCCTCTTCTCTTTTGCTTTTGTGTCTTCTCTGGTTTCTGGGCGCCTCGCGAATCGGAGAAAAAAAAAGCAACGCACGGTGGGGCTCTCGTGTTGCGTCACTCGCATCGCAGGAGGAGGGCATGCCACCCGCGACCAAAGCGGCGGCGCAAGTCATCATCAAGCGCCCGGATGGCACAGAGAGCCGCTTTGTGCGGCAGAAGAAGCGGGCAGAGTCGCCTGGCGTAGACGCAGACGCCGTTAGGAAGGACGAGGATCGCGAGGCAGTCGCCGCCTGCCCGCCGTACACGGCGAGTTTTAACGCTCTCTTGAAGGAGTACCGTGAGAACAACAGTCGTGTGTTGGTGCAGGCGGTGTTGGATCGAATGCACGCGGAGGCGATTCCCTTGAACGTTGTCACGTACAACCTGCTTATGGAGCGCGTTGTCTGCTTCCACGACGACCTGATATTTAAGTTGTACGATGAGATGAAGGAGGAGGCAACCAAGGAAAACAGCAGTGTTCAGCCAAATCTCACGACGTACCAACTGTTATTCCGCGCGTGCGAGCGGAAGGGGCAGTACCAGCGTGCCTTCCTCTTCTACAAGCAGTTGCGGGACCTGATGCACATTGTCCCCGATTCCCCCACGTACGATACACTCCTAGGTTTCTGTGCTGCTGTGCGTGACGTGGCACAGGCCTCGTATTTTATGGAAGAAATGAAAAAGCATGGCGTGACTCCTAACGTAAACACGTACAATTGCATGATGAGCGTGCTAGTGGACAGTGCCCCTTACAAGGAAACACTGCGCATGTTTATGCAGATGGTTGAGGAAGGTATTCGGCCCACAATTAGAACGTACAACACATTGGGCAAGGCTGCCCGCATTCACGGTGACTACGATCGTGCATTTCAACTTTTTGAGGAAATGAAAAAAAATGGAATGGTGCCCGACGTCGTCACCTACAACACACTGCTCTGTCTAGCCGAGCAACGCCTAGACTATGTCATGGGCCGTGGCGCTCATAAAAATGTGCGACGCACCTTTGAGCAGCGAAAGCACGGTCGGAAGGGCATTGCAGACCTTGCACTCACCCTGTTCTCCGAAATGGAGTCGATGGATGTAAAGCCGAACACCTTTTCTTTTAACCAACTCATGACCGTTCTACTAAAGTGCGGCGATTACCGGGTGTTTGACGCCTACCGCACCATGCACGAGCGGTACAACGAGGTGAAGGATGAGCTTGAGTTACAGCTCAAGCGTCAGGCAAGCAAAAAGAAAAAGCGTTCGCTTTCGACACGGGCCCTTGACGACCCAGCCCCCCCACGCGAGGACGCGTTGAGTAGCAGCACCATGTCTGCCGGTGATACGCCCGTGACTCTTGAGGAGATGATGGGCATGGAGGACGTGAGGTCGCCTGCACGCATTGTGGCACGCCAAATCCGACCCAACCTTGACACCTACCGCATCATTTTGCGTGCCTGTCTTCAACTTGGCTTGGCATCAAAGTATAACCTCTTCTATCATAGAGTACAGCAGGAAGGCCTTGTGCCTGACCACGACATGACTATGCTCATGGAATCCATCTGTGAAGCCAACGGAGACAAAGTCTTGGCGCTGCAAATAGTTGAGGAAGCCAAAAGCAATGGCGTGGTGATTGATGTGACGCTGTTCAACGTCTACCTTAACGTCCTTGCCTCACTGGGAGACGCGGAGATGATAGGCATTGTAAAAGAGATGGAGCTTGGCGTCAATGAGTTCAATGTACGCCCCAATGTGGAAACATACAATATAATGCTCCGTGGTTACCTTTGCATGCAGAGACACGACGAGGTGGAGAAATTGTTTTCCTCCATGTACTTATCATACTGTCAGGTGTCGCCCAACGCGGAGACGTATTGCTGGGTGCTGCGGGCTTACCGCGAGAAGTGTGACGCCGCCGCTGCCACACAACTGTTGGAGTCAATGCGGCAGCGCAACATTCCTGTGATGCTTCAACACTACCATGAATTAATGCGGGTGTACTTGGAGGCAGACGATTCACGTATTGAGGACGTCTTTCTGTCACTTAGAAATCCTAAAGAGCCAGAACTGCCGAAGGCGGATACGAAGTGCTTTTTTCTTGTTTTGCAGTACTATTTACGACGACAAATGTTTGAGGAACTCGAGCGGCTTTTCAAAAACTTAAACGCCGATTCGGAAGTGGAAGCGGATGCTGAATGTTATGGGGTTGTACTGGAAATGTTTTTCGCTCAGAAGAGGACTGCCGACGTCAAAGTGCTCTTTACAGACTTCCGCATGAAGTGTGTTCCGCCGTCTATCTCTGTGTATAACACGCTTTTGCGAATCTTTGTATCCCAAGGCGACCGAACCATGTATGAAGTTCTGGAGGACATGAAAGTAAACCACGTGGCGCCAACGGCGACGACGCTTGGTATTCTGTTGGAGTACACCGAAGGTAGGCGCCTTGTTTCTACGTGCGTTGAGAACGACCTCTTTTGGAACCCGGCGACTGCGTTGGCTGGAATCAGCGAGGCTCCAGATGACAAGAGCTAACTCATGTACAGTGCAACGACGAATGCATTTGACTTAGTCCATTTCATTGTTGCCCTTGTTTTTTTTTCTGTGTGTTCTTTTATTTGGGGAGATGGCGCCATTGTTGTTGATGTTTTCTTCTTCTTTTCTTTTCTTGCTTCCAGACAAATATTTATGCTTTCCTTTTATTTACTGTTTTTATTTTTCTTCCTTTTCCTCTTGCTGTTGCTTCCTTTTCGATTTTGAGGTGTGTGTCTTTGGGCTGCTGTTGGCACGCAGGGCTCGCTGGGCTTTATAGACTGCCTCCTAGAAAACGATGCTGCGGACGATGCCCTCGTTTCGCCGTCGTGCGATGGTGAGCAAGGCGGTGCAGACGGAGGCCTCGTTTCCGTGGGAGTGCGCAGACACCGACAGGCACTACGAGGAGCTGGCCAGCGAACAATTTCAGGACCTCTGCAAGCTGCGGGACATGATTCGGGCGGCGATGAAGGAGGTTGCCTGCTCCGTGTACGACGTCGTTGCCTTCAAGGACATCCTCTTCAAGATTGAGGACGAGCTTCCCTCCAAGCTGCCCGTGACCGACCTGCTCCTGCTGTCGTCCAAGCTGTTTCGCCGGACGTCGGCGTTGGGGCGCCTGCTGGGGTGCCTCTTTGCGGTGGTCTTCGCCGAGGAGCACGCGGACGAGAACTTTCACTTCACGGAGCTCCGGGTGCTGCGTCACGAGCTGATGAAAGTCAAGCTTCAGTTTGCCCAGGCGGAAAAGGAGCGGGCCCGGCTGCAGCGCATGCTGGACGACGTCGGTAAGGCCGCCATGAATCACAGCCGGGCTGTGAATCTGCTGGAGACACAAAACGCGGCACTGCAGCTAAAAACAACTGGGCTGGAAGACCAAATGGCGTTGCTTTTTGCCCAGGTGAATAAAGACTTGCATCGCCAGTGCAAGGACGCCTACGAAAATGTTACGAGTGAAATTGATTCGCAGGATCGTATGAGCCTTGCCAGGGCGACCTTTCGTCAGACGATGGATTCCCTTAGTGATCAGCTGCGACACTCCCGCACTCTTATTAACGATGTGAGGGAGCTTGTCATGAGCTGCGCCCAGACGGGCACTGCCGGGGGCGGGGCCAGAAACGTGGATGTGCAGATATCCAAGGAGCCGAGCATCCGCTTCAAGCTGAAGCAGGTGGAAAATAATTTTCAACAGCTCGTAGGCCGTTTTGCCTCTGTGAAGGGTGTGGTGGCGGAAACGGCTCAGGAGCTAATGAATGCGTTACAAGAGCGCAAAAATATTCTCTACCTCTCCCTACAACATATTCGACTCTACGACGTACAAAACACAAAGATGCGTCAGAGCAAAGCCATCGTAGTGGCGATGAAGCAGAGCATGGAGGAACTTCTCAAGCGCATTTCCGTAACCTTTCCCGCCGGTGCCGTCACCTTCGTTGACCGCATTGGACGTATTTCCACGCAACAGTTTAAGGTGGGGCAGACCTTGGCGACACTCCGTCAGCAAAAGACGTTGGAGCAGTCGGGTGAGGAGGCGGCGTCGACGAGTGCGCATACCACTGGGTTTAGTTCGCCCATAGCCTCGCCAACTGGGATGCGTGTGATGAGCGAGGATCAAACAGCCGTGCCCATGCCGCCGAGCGTTGATTTTTACAGTACGGCGGACACCAGTAAATTGCCGTTTCAGACGGTGTATAACGTCGTGGACCTCATCAAACAGGCAGAGCGTTCCATGGAAAGCCTGAGCAACGTGCTCAACTTTGAGAATGAGATCAATGCCTTTCTTAATACGCTCACCTTGTCGCTCTCAACGACGCCGCGGAATGTGGACGAGGCCCTGCGTGACCTGCAAACGGAGGACGAGATGGTGGACAGAGCGCTGCTTCCCACAGGCAATCTTCCCTCACAGCGCCCTAGCGCTGTGGACGTCGCGGCGCGGAGGGTGGACCGCGAACCAGACGTGGGAGTGAGTCCCCACCCTATATTGTCAGCGTCCGTTGCCGGCGATCGGAAGGCCTCGATTGACAGCGAGCAGCAGCCATCACAGACGGTTGAACAGATGCAGCAGATCAAGAAGTTGCAGGAACAGTTGGACAGTGTGCAGCCGGAGTTTGCAGCCAAAATCAGCTTCCTACGACAGGTGTATGAGGCCCGAATCTGTGACTTGGAGGTTAAGGAGGCTAATTACCACCGCAAGATTAACACCGTTATGACGCAGAAAGAAGGCAGGGAAACGAGGGAATCCAAACGCCGTGTCAGTCGTTCAGATCGCATTTCACCGGCCCCGCGCACGCCAGAAGCCTCCGCCCCAGAAAGGCGCGGCAAAAAGGAAGATAAGGAGCAGCTCTTACAATCACGCTCGGAGTGGCAGCAGACGAAATCTGTATTAAAGTCGAATAAGAAGACACGCGATGCCACGTTAAACGAACTCACCAAAATGTTGAAAGGAGACCGTTGAAGTACAACACACTGCTGCACACATTGCTACGCTGAGTGTGTGTGTGTGTGTGTGTGTGTGTGTGTCTGCCTGGCTGGCTTCCTCTTCTCTTTTAGTTATTGTCGTTGCTGTCTTCTATTCTTCCTGTGAGTATGTGAGGAAATGTAAATAGCGTTTGCTGAGGCTTCTGTTTTTTTTTTGCCTTCGCTTTTTTCACTGTGTGTGTATGTGTGTGTCTGCCTGTGAGGAAGAAGAAGAAGAGAAAATCAACCCCACAAGTTCACGCCATGGTGCTCACAACACCCCCCTCCCCCTCCCACACACATACACACGGGAACGCTCGTCCAAAAAGGGGTAAGAAAACAGACAAAAGAAAAACAGTATCTTCTAATGATTTGTTTTTCTAGATTAATTTTCCCCTATTTTCTTTGCAGGTGTTGAACCCGCGTGAGGTGCGTGGCAACAGGGCAGGAACGTGCCTCACTTCACTTGATCTGTACAGTCACCCTACTCCACCTGTAGTGCACGCATAAGTTCCTACACATTTTCGCTTTGCATATATACAACTTTCTTCTTCTTGTTCCTGCCGGCACACGGGTGGTGCAGACCTCCCTTCGTCTCATGATTGTTGCTATTCTTATCTCTGGTCTTGTGGCTGTTGCGTAGAGCACGTGGCCGTGGCCATCCACGGAAGAGTAGTCATCACGAGGAGAGGAAGCGAGGAGGTGAAGAGGGAGAGTGACAGCACGCCAAGGAAGTAATGTCTCAGACGGCGGAGGACAAAAAAGCATTTTCGGCCATTATAGCACGTGACAGTGAATGCAAGGCTTGTTTTGAGTGCGGCGCACCAAATCCGCAGTGGTGCGATGTGAACCACGGCGTTTTTATCTGCCTCGACTGTAGTGGCGTCCACAGGAGTCTCGGTGTCCATCTTTCGTTTGTGCGGAGTTCCACATTGGACGGCTGGACCAACTGGCGGCCAGAGAAGTTGCGGCAGATGCAGTTGGGTGGTAACCGTCGTGCCCGCGAGTACTTTGAGCGGAACAATGTTCCTCGTGCCCCGATTGAGGCACGTTATAAGTCCCTGGGTGCACTGCGGTATTCTGCCATGTTAGAGGCCGAGGCTCTCGGCAATCCGTTTGACGAGCAGTCGTGGACACCGCCGGAGTGGCACGTGCGTCTACTGCAGCAGGACTCGACGGAAACGGGCGCCACGCCCCTGCAGGCTCCGCAGCAGCATCGCCCATTCAGTGGCATGGGGTCGGATGGAAGACAGTGGAGTGACAGTAGTGGCGGCGGTGGCAAGGATTGGTACAACTCGCTGGCCGGCGGGTGGGCGACACTCTCAAAGAAGGCAACAGAGATTGCAGGGAACGCGGGTACCCAGGCGCGTACCCTCATGCGCGAGGCAGACTTGGGAGATGTGAAGACAAAATTCTCCTCTGGGTGGTGCACAGTGTCAGGCTACGCCAACCAGCTGTCCACAAAAATAACAAAAATTGCGGCGGGTGAGGCTGATGACGATGGCCTGGCTGGAATGACACTTAAGGCGAGACTTGCAGGGCAAGAGGGTCAAAATGGCTCTTCCTCACCAAGTGGAAAGTACGAGCATATAGAGCATAACATAGACCCGTCAACCTCAAGTGCTTCTCCTGCATCTCAGAAACTCAGAGCCCGTCAAGGGGGAAAGCAGCAATAATAATAACAAAAAAGAAACACCAGGGGGCGAAATATTGCAGCGCATCACCCTTTCCTAATTATTTTTCTGACGCTGGTGGTGGTGGTGGTGATGGAAACTCACTTCAGTCTGCGACGAAGTTGAGGTGGGCAAGGCAACCCCACTGGCACAGGAGGAGGAAAAGGAGCAGACGTTATGTGTCCGTGGAAACCTGAGAAGGGTGCCTGGGCCTCGCCGGAAAAAGTGAACTACACCTGAGAAAGTTGCTTTTCATGAGGCGCAAAAAAGGACAGAGAGAGAAAAATAACCGAATAACGGGATAAAGATATTATACTTCTGCTGGATCAACACGGCTTCCAGTATACGTCTCTGTTGGCGTGTGTGCCCGGAGAGGTTTACCAATTTTCAGGTGGACGGATGCATCTGTGGAAACTTCTGGTATGCGGTGTGACACTAACGCGGTTCAGTTATTGTTGA